CTCTGCCTGGTGAAAGAGAAGGAAGAGGAAATTGCTCCACAGAGGCCCTTAAGAAAGTCTGAGGACACAGAGGAAAAGTCTGGTTAGTTTTCAGTGTGGGGGGAAAGGCTTGAAGGATGGCATCCAGGTCAGAGCAGGGAGGCGGTGGTGCCATTGCTGACATATGGAGCACTGGATGAGAGCAGGAGTGCAGGGGACCATGCACAGTTGTGTCAGTTTGCATTATGAGGGTCTGATGAGCAGCTGAACCATGACCTGGAGCTCAGGAGAGGGCCTGGGACTGAAGCTCAAGAAGGAGCGAGGTCCTTGAGGAGGAAGGAGGATGAGAGGAGAAGAGGTCAGAGTGGGCTCAGGTTCTACAGGGGCCACCCCGGGTCCCCATGGGCTCACCTGACTAGGTTTAGCTTTCATAGAGCAACAGCAGTGTCACTGCTTCCTCCTTATCCTCTAGGGAAGCCTGTTGTCCCCTCATTCTTACAGCTGGCTTAGAAGAGGGGAGCAGCTCCCCAGGATACACGTGCACCAGGCTCTACCTTGCTGAATCTGTCCCCCTCCTCTTCCAGGCATCTTCTCTGCCTTGCCTCTCCCCCTATTGCATGTGTTTCCTCTTGAGAAGTCTTGGGAGAAATACAATCCTCTTTGGCCCTTAGTCAAAGAGGTTTAAGCCTCAAAGGACACAGCCAAGCTTTGAGCTGACTCACACCTGTCCTGGATCCTGGAGTTGCTATGGCAACAGGTGACAATGGCCTATATTCTCCTAATAATGGGGGCAGGGATTCACCCCCTGTTCCCATTGGTCTCTGCCACTTGGAAGTCAGCTTAAGGCCTGGAATGTGGCTTAGACAAATCCTGTTACCCTTGTTCTCTCCCTTGAGTAGAAGGAGAGGCCTGGGCATCTGACCTGGAAGAGCCCCATCCTGCGTCCTGGTCAGGGATGTGCCCATGGAACATAGGCTCTCTTTGCCTCAGTCTCAGCAGAGGTCTGAGGGCAAAGGGGGAAACAATGATGAGATGTGACTGAGTAAAGCAGGAGAGGGTTGGAGCTAGACTTTAGGAAGAACTTCCCAGCATTGAGTGTTCTTAGATAGGAGACCAATTAATCTTGTATTTATGGAGGAGGAAAGGGCAGTGCTGGGGGGATATGGGCCTCATCCCACAGGTTGGCCATTCTCTGCACTCCTCCACAACCAGGAGGTTTGTATGGAGCACCTCCTGGGCACCCACTGTGGCACCTTAAGCCAGGGCCCCAGGGATGGTTCAAGGCAGGTTTCATCTGTCTGTCCCCCCAGCGGCTGCAAAGCAGCTACCCTGAGGAATATCTGAGGACCCTCCTTTGCCTGAAGAAGCTGAGAAGCAGGTGAGGTTCTAGGCACACCCTCTGGGCCAGTGGGCAGGGCTGGCTAGGCAGGCTTGTTTGGGAGGCTGGCAATGGGCAGGCTTGTGGGGCAGAGATGAGGAATTGACAAAACTCTGGGTCTCAGGGCAGGGGCTTCCCCTGAGTCCCCTCCACTTCCTGGGTCTTTCTGCAGCTCCCACACATCCAAGCATGGCTTCCTGTCTCAGGCCTGGATCTGCTTCAGACACTACATCTACACTCCACAGCGAGGTATGGAGTGGGGAGCTGAGGTCCAGAGTGACAGGTGACCTCCCCCTTCCCATGCACAAAGCAGCTGCAGTGGCAGGAGCTGACACCCTCAGAACTCTGCCATCAGGAAGAACAGCCCCAAGCCCCTGGCCTGACTTGGCCTTGGTGGTCCAGGGTCCTATAAGCCCTGGCCCTTTTCCTGGGCCTCTGGGGAGGTGTGGGAGCTCCTGGGCCTGGGTGGTGCTAGGCTCACCATGCCCTTCTTTTTGGGAACTGCAGGATTCCGACTCCCACTGACGCTTGTGCTTTCAGCCACCCTGACAGGGACGGCCATTTACCAGGTATGTCCTGCCTCTGCAGTGCCATTTGCCTCCGAACTCCCAAGTCTAAATGGCTCAGGCCCAGCTCAGCTCTCCAAAAGCGTGGCCCACAATCCTGCCCAGCTGCTTCTGATGTCTTGGGAACGCTGGCCTACCCAGAGGGAGAAGGCATTAGCTCTTTTTGGACTCACACAGAGTCAGAGCATGAGTTTTGGAGTCACATGAACAAGGGTTTACATCCTAGCTTCATTATTTACCTCCTGTGTGACTTGCTTAAGTTAGTCAACCTCCTTAAACCCATTGGCTCAGCTAAAAGTGGAAGAAATTACCTTCATCTTTGGGAATTTGAGAAGATTTAGTGAAATAACATGTGTTTGATAAATCCCCACTACCAACACCACCACCCCTTAAAAACCAACCAACCAACCCAAATCTCAGGAGGTGGGTATGATTTTTCTCTGTTTTACAGAGGGGAGAAATGAAAGCTCAGAGAGGTGAATTTGACTTGGCCAAGTTCCTACAGCTAATATCTCAGGGCAGCCAATGTCTGAATCCAAGCCTGTCCAGCTCCAATGCCTCTGCTCATTTATAAGACACTTTGCCTTCTCCAATGTAGAAAAGTTGGAAATTTTATATTCTGAAATTTAAGATAGATAACTGATATAGACTGACAGACAGGCGTAGATGTACAGTTGTGCCGCCTGAAAGCACACCTCTGGCCTATTAGCTAAGATTGGATCTGTTTGTAACATGCTGACCACAGGCATGAGGACACTGTTCTTGGGGGCAGATCAGAACACTGATGGGTGCCAGGAACGATGCAGCCAGTGTGCTCCCTAGAGTCTTCCCTGTGACTCAGAAAACACTTTTCCTGGAATGGGAGTGCCTGGTTCGGCACAGCCAGACCCTGGTGCTCTCATTCTGGGGTTCTTCCAGGTGGCCCTGCTGCTGCTGGTGGGTGTGGTACCCACCATCCAGAAAGTGAGGGCGGGGATCACCACGGACGTCTCCTACCTGCTGGCCGGTTTTGGGATTGTGCTCTCAGAGGACAGGCAGGAGGTGGTGGAGCTGGTGAAGTACCACCTGTGGGCTCTGGAAGGTGAGAACCACTGTAGCAGGCACTCTATACATGTCAATTGGTTGATTTCACTCAATTGCTTATTGAAATAAACCTTTAAGGCTCTATCTTCTGAAAGCCCCCATTACAGTGGTTCTCAATGCTGGCTGCATGCCAGAATCGCCAGAGTTGTTTTTACAAAAGCTAATGCCTGGGACCCATCCCCAGAACTTCTGATTTAATTAGCTGGGGGTGTAGCTTGGGCCATGGGGCTTCTAATATCTCCAGGTGATCCGAGCATGCTGCCAGTGCCTTCCCAGCACCTGTAGTTAATGTGGAACCAGTGCTTGCTTTTTCCACGTGCATTTGCACTCCCTGCCCCTCAACCACCGGCTCTGCTCCTGTGGAACAGGAAACCAGGATCACTTCCCTGGGCTGGCTGAGGAGAGCAGGGTGTAGGCACCCTGGCTCTTTCTGGGTCTGCTTGGGAATGGTTACACTTCTGGCTCTACCACTTCCTACAGTGCGGCTGGTGGGGCAGACCTCTCAGAGTCTCGGCCTCTTTCTTGGTTCCATGTTTTCACGTGCTTCTCCTGTAGGGCTGCTTTGAAGGTGCAGGGCAAGGCTGGGTGTGGATGTAAGGTGGAAGGGGTACAGCCTCCATCCTCGCTCTGCTTCATTACCAGGCTTCTCACAACCAAGCATTCTCTCCCAGCTGCTGGTGAGACAGCAAACTCATGATCTGTGCTCATGGCTTGGGTGGCCAGGGGGATGGGGTAGAGATGGGTAGCAGTGGTCACCTCCCCTCATTCTGATGGACTCAGGCCACACTGAAGTGCATGTGCATCCTCGTGCCTGGAACAAAGGCCATTGATGCAGGCCTACATGGGATTTCATGCTCACATCATGCTGTGAGATGGGCAGCACAGTAGGGTGCCCGGCATTAGCAAGCTAGGGTGGGAGATTAAATGACACCTGGAGGCTACACGATCAGGGAGCAGTGGAGCTGGAGGCAGATGCCAGGTTGAATGCATCTCTCACTGAAAGTCTCATAGCAATGGACGAAGCAAGACCCGGGTGAGGATCAAGTCTACAACCTCAGAGGGGGCCTCTCCTCATCTTGGCCACTCTGTCACCTGGCACCATAGACCAGCCGGGCTGTCAGCTTCCACTGGGTCTGAGAACAGGGAATGTGGCAAGAGGCTTCTGCTCACAGTCGGGGCGGTGGTGGCAGGGTAACTCCCTCCAGGCACACCCTGGTAGCAGTTTGGAGGCTGCCAGGAGAGCCTCCAGGCATGGCCTCCCACTTTGCTTCTTCTTCACCCTCCAGTTTGCTACATCTCAGCCTTGGTCCTGTCCTGCTCACTCACCTTCCTCATGCTGACCCGCTCGCTGGTGACACACAGGTCAGTGGCTGGCTCTGTCCCTCATTGTGGATGCGGGGAGGAGGTCAGCATCAATGGGCTTGTAGGACCCCTGACTCAGACGGGCTGTGGGGAAAGCCCTGGGGCTAGAGGGAGGGAGGGTCTCTGCAGGCCCAGGTTGCCACTGAGTCAGCTGCCCTGTGTTGGGCAGAGAAGCTGGGCGGTTCAATCTGAGTGGGTAACCATCTGTGAATGATTCTAGATCCTGACTGAGAGGGCTGAAGTGTGAGTTTGTCCATACTGAGCGGGGCCACCCGGGTGGGCTGGATTTGATAGGAGGCACCTGGGAATGGGAGAGGATGAAGGAGCTGAGGGAGGAAGGGTGCCATGAGCAGGAGAACTGCATGACAAGGGCACAGAGGCTGGGTGAGCCTGATGCTTGTGAGTGTGGGTGAGGGGGTGGTCTGACCGGCACTGGAGAGATTATTACGGGACATTGAATGTCAGGCTGCCCGCCTTGCCCGTTCATGTAAATGATAAGGAGCACTGAGGAAATGTGAGCAGAGAGGGAGAGGAGGTTCTAGTTGGGAGGGAGGGGTGGTCCATGTCAGAGAACTGGTTCCTATGACCTGCACATTCATCGGGCCTCAGAGGTTGTCCCACAGGGATCTTTCCTCACAGGGGTAGCCCTACTGAGGCTGGCATTCCAGGCCCTCAAGCCTCTGCATTGCATTATGTTCAGCACATTCCTGCTTGAGTGCCAATATGGGCTGTCTCAGGAGGTAATGAGATCCATGTCACTGGAGGTATGCAAGCAGGGTCCATGGCCATAGATGGGGAACCTTGCCCCCCACTCTGATGGCCAAGCTGTGAGTCACTTTCCATCTCTTCTGTTGTTTCTCACTTTTCTGACTTGGCTCACATTGAACCTTCAGCCTGAATTTGTTTCCCTAGATCTCCACCTCACCAGCTTACTCTTACTCTTATTTATCCTTTAAGACTCTCTAGTCAGACCTTGCCTCCTCTGGGAAGCCCTCCCTGACCGCCCATGGCTGGCTTAGTAGCCTCCACTGGGTTCCCACAGCCCTGAGCTTCCCTGCCTTTGGGTTGTAATTAGACTGAGAGTTCAGCCAGTGGCTAGCCTAGAGGAAGAATTTAGGGAGTATATGTGCTCCTGAGATCCCTGCCTTCTCACCCTCATCCCAGGGCCAATCTGCAAGCGCTACACCGAGGGGCTGCCCTGGACCTTGGCCCCCTGCCTCAGAGCCCTCACCCCTCTCGCCAGGCCATATTCTGTTGGATGAACTTCAGCGCTTACCAGACTGCTTTTACCTGCCTTGGTGAGCCCCACCCTGCTGGGCCTTCACTGGCCCCAGACACTGGCCCCAGTGAGTGAGGGGAGAGTGGTCAGCAGTTCTTGACTGTCTGCCTGTGCTGGGGCAAGTTCTGGGATAAGAGTGAAAAGAGGGACCCGCCTGGCCTTCCCTGCACTCAGGAGGCTCACTCGGGTGGGGGTAGGGGACACAGGAGCCCTTGGGGAAAGGATGCCCCTAACATGAGCATGGTCCCGGGGTGCCACGAGCTGTTTACACAGCGGGTAGACCCAGGGCTGGAAGGTGGGAAGCTTAAGGAGGTACAGTCCTGCTTGTGTGAGGGAGGGCTATGCCATGATGGGCTGTCTCAGGAGGCAATGAGATCTATGTCACTGGGGTTACGCAGGCAGGATTCCATGGCCATAGATGGGGATTGCAAAGGGGGTCTGTTCTTGAGGGAGTTGGACTAGATTAAGTCCCAGGATGTTCCCAGCTCCTAACTTTCTGGTTCTCCCCAGGGCCCTGTGGTGAATAAAGCCTCTGACGTTCAGGGAAGATGGGTCAGTGTTGTGAGAGCCAGGGCAGCTTTCTCTCCCTGCTGGTTCCTTCAGTTCTCACCCTGCACTCCAGAAGGGCAGAAGGATGACCAAGGAGTAGATTTGATCATCTCAGTGGACTTTGTCCCTCACAAGCCCTCTTGTACACATGTCCCCACATAAACCATTAGCAGTTGTTTCATTAGACAACTGTGGGGCGCCTACTGTGTTCCGGACTCTGGCCAGTAAGAGCGCAAGCATTACTCTAAAATGTAGTCCGCTCCCCAAGGACTCAGCGGCAACGGAGGGAAAATAACATTGACAAAGCACCTACTGGTTTTCAAAGGGTTGCACAGACATAATCTCATTGGGTCCTCACAACAGCCCTGTGTGGTAGGGGCCACTCTCCCCATTTTACAGAGGGAGAAACCAAAGCTCAGAAATGTAAACTAACTTGCTCAAGATGGCACAGCGAGGCATCAGAACAGGGATCTGAAATCAGGTCTGCCCAATTCCAAGGTCTTTGGCTCCTGGGAGTGCCAGGGGTGGTCTGGGTCCTGCAGAGGCTGATGTCTGTCCCCTCCTCATCCTGGCAGGGCTCCTGACACAGCAGATCATCTTCTTCCTGGGGACCATGGCCCTGGCCTTCCTGGTGTTTATGCCTGTGCTCCATGGCAGTAACCTTCTGCTCCTCCAATCACTGGGGTCCTTGTGGTAAGAGAGGCAAAGGGCTGAGGGCTCTAGGACCCCTTCCCAGAGGGCCACTAACAGTGACACCTCCCACTCCACCTGCAGGCCTTTCTGGCTGACCTTGGCCTTGGCTGTAACTCTGCAGAACATGGCATCCCACTGGGTCTTTCTGAAGACTCACCATGGATGGCCAGAGCTGACCAACCGGTAAGGCAGCTCTTGGGTTTGTGGCTCTTTCAGGTCGTCAGCCTCTTCTCCTTCGTGTCTTTAGCTGTGTCCTTCCTCCTCTACTGCCATCTCTCCCTTCTCTGTCAGGGAGCCCAGTGGGTAGTAAACAGAGATTGCCTTACCCACAGAGAATGGGGCAGTGGCCAAGCCTACTCCACATACATCTGTCACAGGGCCAGCGTCACCCCATAGCCTTTCCTGCTTCGAGATCAACGTTACTCTCCCCTGGATCCTCTATGCCCTCCACACCATGTGCCTCCCTCTTTGCAGGAAGGAGATTAACAGAAACATTAATTCCCTGTTAGATGGTAAGGCTGTGGGCAGACCTTGGCCCCAAGGGAGACTCGGAGTCAATGGACAAGGGAACCAGAGAAGGGAGGTGGGAGACACTGGGGTCATGGAAAGATCCAGGTGGAACTGAACTTAAACCCTAACTCTGACACTGACTAGCTAGGCAGCTTTAGCTAAGTCACCCAATTTCTCTGGGCCTCAGTTTCCCTTCTATAGGAGGGAGTACATGGCCTGTCTCCCAGAGTGGTGAGGAGGGCCAGCTGGGTTGAGAGTTGGACCAGTACAGGATGGGGTGCATACAAAGTATACTCAATAAATAGCAGGTACTCAATAAGTACACATCAGCTGTGGTCATCAGCTGAGGAAGGGGCTGGGGGTGTGGGGGCCTGACTTAGCCTTGCTTCTCCCTCACCCTAGCTGCGCACTCTATGCAGCCACCTTCCTTCTCTTCCCCATCAACGTGCTGGTGGGCGTCATGGTGGCCATCTGGCGAGTGGTCCTCTCTGCCCTCTACAATGCTGTCCACCTTGGTCAGATGGACCTCAGCCTGCTGCCACCTGGAGCTGCCACTCTTGACCCTGGTAAGGTCACAGGGCAGGGCCAGGGTGGGGGTTGCTCAGGCTGCCCAAGCTGTAAGGGAGGGTCTGCCCTGATGCCCTGACCTGGTTTATGTTCAAATCTTCTCTGAGGATGTCTGGGACTGCCACATCGGTGTGTGCAGGGGCCCATGTGCAGTGCATGTGTGTCTATGTGCTTTCATGCAGAGTGTGCAGGGTGCGTGTGTGTGTGTGTGTGTGTGTGTGTGTGTAGGTGTGTGTGTGAGGGACTATCTGGGCCCTTCTGTCTGAGCGCCACCATCCCCCGCCCACCCCAGGCTATCGCACATACTGCAACTTCTTGAAGATTGAAGTCAACCAGTCGCATCCAGGCATGATAGCCTTCTGTACCCTGCTCCTGCGAACACAGAAGCCCCGGCCCCATCCGGCCCCCCAGGATGGCCTCAGACTTGGAATGGAAGAAGAAGGTGCACCTTCCCTTTGGGGTTGGGAGAGTTGAGCCCACCCACAGCTTCTCCCAGGAAGGAGGGATACATCCCTCCCCAACATGCACCACTGAGCAGGAAAATGCTCACTTTCTGTTCCTGAGCTGCCTATGGGAGAGAGGAAGTGAGAATTTTCCTGGTCCATTTTGGTAATTTTTTCCACCATGTACATGCACGTGCGCCCATGCACACCCTTTCTCCCTCTGCATGCTCGCACATCCTCTCACAGAGAAGGAGATGGCCATCTTGCCAAGGAGCTCTGTCTTCCCCCACCATGGGCCACCCTCCACCTCTCCCTCTCAGGCAGTCTGTCCCGTACTGTCTGGGAAGTGTGTAGTGGGGAGGAGGACACTAAGCTGGAACTCCAGTCTCACCAGCCTCCTCCACTCACCCAGGGGATTTTCAGACTGTGTTCAGGACTGGGTGCAGTGGGCTTGGCTGGGTTTGCTGTGTGACTCACAGAAGGTCTCCCCTTCTCAGGGATGCAGCTGCTGCAGATCAATGACCCTGTGGCCAAGGGAACAGGGCCCAGAGCCCGCCAAGGCAGGGCTCGCTGGGGTCTGACCTACACGCTGCTGCACAATCCAGCCCTACAGACCTTCCGGAAGAGGGCCCTGTCAGGTGCCCGGGCCAATGGCACCCAGCCCTGAGGAGGGAACGCCAAGGCATGTGTCTCCATCTGTGCGCTTGCTTCCCCTCTTCCCAGCCCATCCCTTCCCTGGTTCTCCCAGCATTGCCCCAACCATGGTAGGCTCTTAGCTTAGCACCAGCTCTGCCAGCAGGTCCCAGGATCAGGATCCCAGTGACCAGCCCCCAAGGCTGGAGGTCACTGTGGTTGAGTGGAGGTTGTCTGCATTGTGAGCCTTGAGAGAGGGCTCTATTCTGCTCCCTTGGCCTTGGGAAGCTAAGGGCTCTGAAGAAAGCAATCAATGGTTTAGGCCCTTGGTCCAGGAGCCAATGGAGCCAGAAAAGCTATATCCAGGTCCCTCCCCTCACTGGCCCTGCTGCCAGCCTCCAGGGCCTCACTGAAGCTTTCTGCTGACCTGGATTGGTGATTCTAGCTGGGACAGCCTCGCTCCAGCAGCCCAGGAGAAAGCGAGTGGGATCCTACTGGCAACAAAGTCAGAGCTCGCACAAGGCCCCACACCAAGCTGCCCACACTTGAGAGCTGATATTTTTCTAGTTGGTATGCCTTTAGATATTATAAAAGAGGTCAGTGTGCTCCCTGCAATAAACTTGTCCTTGAGAAATAGTCCTCTGTAGGGGTCACGTGGGGAAAACTGCCCACACGATTTTATGGGGCTTGGGTGGGGATGGGTATTCTGGTCACATGCTGGGCTGGGCCCCCTGGGTTGGGGCAGAGAAGACCCTCCCACTAGCCGCATCCCTTTGGGTGGTGGAGAAATTAGGAACCCTATGTGCCACCCTTGAGCCATGGGGGCAGTGGCTTTAGAAAGTAGGACTTATTCAGGGTCCTCAAGAATGAGCAGGACTTGGGGAGCAGAAGAGATTTAAGGAAGATGGGGACAATGTGAATTAAGGTGTGGAGGTGGGGGCGTGCAGTGAGGGAGCTGCCCTGATGGTGGAAGAACAAGGATGCAAAGGGGAAGGGCAGTGGGGGGTCGGGAAGTGGCCCTTTCCCTGCTGGAGACTGGTGGAGGTCGGAAGCTGTGTAGGTGAGGGTGTGGGCCCATTTGTGGGCTGGGGCTACAGAGGGTGAGGGAAATGTGGCCACTCCAGAGATCAGTATCAGTGGGGCCTAAAAAAATGTCTGCACAATTAGTGGAGGCCAACTCCTCCTCCATGTTCCTACAGCCCCAAACACACATGAAACCAGGGGCAGGACCAGGGAGCTGGGATCCGCCTTCAAGGCTGCCTGTGAGGAGGGCAAAGAAGGCAGGCTCTGACCCCACTGCAGCCGTGAAAAATGTCTTCCTGGCCCTGTGTCCGTGACTGACAGGATCACAGGGAGGAGAGGGCAGACTGGGTCTCAGCCCTTAACAAGGAACCAGTCACAACAGAGTGTGATCAAGCTGGGACACTGGACGCCCAGCGCTGTGGGAGCCAGAGGAGGGGGCATCGTGTGCACTGGGAAGCAGGGGCAGGGCATCCAGGAAGGCTTTCTGGAGGATGTGGTACCTAAGCCGTCTCAAAGGCTGACATAGCCAAGTAAGGAAGAGGGGAACAGTGTCCAGACCAAGGGAACAGCATGAATAGGGGTGCAGAGGAAGACTCATCACAGAAAATTTAAAGAACAAGTCATTAGTTCTAAGGGAGACCGGGAGGGGAGCGGAGACCTGGGAGAGCCAGTCAGAGTGGCCATGAATACTTGGCTGGGGAACTCAGAGCTTCATCTCAAGGCAGTGGGCGCCATGGGTGACTAAAGCAGGAGAGTAGCCACTTCATTTGGAGCACAGCTGTTCCCCAGTCACCCCTGACTCAGGTCTTGGGCACATGTCCTAGTCCAAAAAGCCAGGCCTGCTCAACTGTGAATGGAGCCAGAGACATCAGAGGTCCAAGTCAGGTTAGGGTTATCAAGCCTTAGCGAACCAGAGTCAACTGGACTCTTAAGCATTACCATGTCCTACCTCATCTTTTTAAAAAAATTGTACTCATTCATTTCTTTTATTCAGAAATATGACTTTTTAATTTTCACTTGAGGATATGTTTTTATTGATTTTTTTTTTTTAGAGAGAGAGGAAGGGGGAGAGAAAGAGAGAGAGGGAGAGAGGAACACTGATTGGTTGCCTTTCCCTGTATAGGACAATACTCCAACCAACTGAGACAGGGCCTGTCTTTTTTTTCCCTAAGGAAATTCAAGTCCAGAGATGGGTAGTGACTTTTTTAAGGTGGCACAGCACAGGGGCTCAGCTTTTTCTTGCTGTTTTTTCCACCAGATATGCAGTCCTTGACATGTGCTGCTGGTGTCATCTGTTCAGTGGGAGCTGCAGGCTGAAGAGGGGGTGGAGGAGTGCCCAATGCAGACCAGGAGGAGGGGGAAGGGAGGCTGGCCAGCCTCCAAGGCTCATAGCTGCTACCCCAGGCTCCTTGGTCTCCCTGCCTCTACTTTGCTGCGCTCAGCAGCCCTAAGAGCTCTGGGCAAAGGTGGCAGAGTCTCTCCCATGGAGTCATCCTATGTGTAGCGCCCTTCAATTTGGAAAGGGATGGGGATGGAAGCAGAGGGGAGATACATCTCACCCAGCACAGAGACAGGGTTCTTATAGTCCCCAGGTCCTGACCCCATCTACCTACTCCCCATTCTGAGAGATCTGTAGGCTGTTGCCAGGCCCTCATCCTACCTGCCCCCTCCCCCAAGACAGTTACTGGTCCATCTGTTCTGTGGGGGAAAGACTCCTACGAAAGGACTTTCCTCCAGAAATGCCGTTTCCTCTTCCTGAATGGTGAGAGGAAGGACATCCATTTCCTTTGGCTTCTCCCTCAAATCTGTTCTCCTCAGTCTCCTGGGTCCTTTTTCTTCCCTCCGTCCTCTCTCCTCTATGTCCTATGTCCCCCATCCCCTCCCTTCTCTCAATTCTTCATCTTGCATAGCCTGTCCCCCTTCCATCTACACTCCCTGACATCTCTTCCATGGACTGGACCAGGAAGAGGACCACAATCCAGGCTCTTTCCCCGCCTCTACAATGCCTCCTCACACCCTTACTGCATACAGCACCACTCAGGGTCCCAGGGAAGCCTCAGTAGCTAGTGTCCCCATTTGTCTCATGGGCTAATTTGGGGGGAGGGACATCTGCAACTCAGCTCAGCTGGGGACCCAGCCTCTCACCCACCACTGGGCCACCCATGCTACTGCCTGCCGCATAGTCAGTGTGTGTCTCACAGACCCGTTCCATGTGGACAGGCCGGCTGGCCACCCTGACTCTCCAGCTCCTGGTCCTACCCTTGACAGGGGCTTCTAGATCAGATGAAACTCCAGGCAGACACAGGGAGCATCAGAAATGCTATTTATTCCTCCGCTGTCCCCAGGCTGACTGGCCGCCTCAGAGGGCTAGGCTACAGGTGCACACTTGGAGAGAGAGGCAAAGCAGATGTCCAGGATGGCAGGGCAGAGGCTAAAGGAGGAAGGGTGAAAAGAGGAAGACCCCCAGATCCTCCAGTCCTGTCTGAGACGGGGACAGAGAATTTGGAGCCCCCAAGTCATTAGGGAACGCCCCAGGGCAGCAGGAGCTCAAGCAGGTCACGGAGAGTCTCAAAGCCACACCAGCCTCTGCCCCTATATCCCATTTCTTTCTCCTGTGCCCTGTCTACTTCAGGCTATTTCCCTGCCAAGGCCTAAGCCCCCAGCCTTCGCCAGCTGGTCAGTCCCAGTCCCTGGATTCCATCCGTGAGACCTTGCCCAGTTGTAGGGTAGTACCCTGTTAGCATGCTGCCTACACAGGGGGACATGGGCCATGTGGTTAGCAGCAAGGAATACTGAAGACCCACGAGTTATGGGATCCAATTCTGACCTAGTCACTAGCATTGAGGGAGTCTAGAAGTGGATGTGGCGAGTGTCCTGGAAGAGAATATAAGGGGAGGTAGGAAGATGTGATATCCCTCACGCAGGTCTTGGGAGCTGCCAGCCCCAGACCCCTGCCTGGACATCCACAAAGTCAGGGGGAGGAGTCAAGGGGGCTGCTGCAGCTCAGCTGGGTGGCGGAGGAGCTAGAAGGAAGTGAAGAGGAGGAGGAGGAGGCTCTGGCCCAGCAGAAGCAGGCCTGGAGGCTGCTGCCCAAAGACCCCGCCCCCTGCTTCTGCAGCCTCCTGGCCTCCAGTGCGGCTGAGGTAAATGATGACCACGTTGTCCTCAGGACCTGACGGCTGCACCTCGTTGTCAACCGTATAGCAGCCCTTACCCTCCGCAGCTTTGCCATGGAACCTGCGCCGCAACACATCCTCGCCCGGAGTAGCTAGTGCCACGTTCACCGAGCTCTCTGCACTGCCCAGCTCATTGGTGGCCAGGCAGCTGTAGGTGCCTTCCTCCGGCTTGCCAAAGTCAGGGATGAACAGGCTGCCATTGGCAAAGGCCTGGAAGCGTGGCTGGCTGCTGGCTGCCGGGGCATGCCCATCAGCACCCACGTTGGGGCTGGTGATCTCCACCGTGCCACCAGGCGTCTGGATGTGCCAGTGAAGCTGCGGGGCCGGCTGCCCCTCCACAGCACAATAGAGCGCCAGCATGAAGCCAGGTCGCAGCTCGGCACCATCCTGGCTGGGCTGGTAGGTGAGTTGCACCAAGGGTGCCGAACAAGGCAGTGGCAGCAGGCGGGTCAGCGGTGTGCCCTTCAGCACATCGGGCGAAGTGCAGGTGATGTTGTCCTGCTCTGGGATGGATGCGGCTGTGGTCAGGGCCCATGTCTTGAACCACATGATGCCGCAGGTACACTGGAAAGGGTTGTTATTGATCTGCAGGTGGGACAGTACAGTGAGCGGTGCAAAGGTACCCTCAGCCAGTGTGTGCAAGCGGTTGTGATTGAGCTGCAGTGAGCTCAGGGCATGAAGACTGCGGAAGGCATCTCGGGGGATGAAGGTCAGCTCATTGCTGTTCATCTTGAGTAACTGGAGGGCGCTGAGGTTGTACAGGTTGCTCCAGGCAAAGTCAGAGATGAGGTTGTGGCTGAGGTCCAGGCTCTTGAGATGGCCCAGTGAGGTCAGAGCGCCTGCAGCCACTGTGCGAATCTCGTTGTGTGCCAGCCACAGAGACCGCAGCAGGGGCACCTCCCTGAAGGCACCCTCTGGCAAGCTGGGCAGCCGGTTGACTGACAGGCTCAATGTGGTCACGTTGGCTGGGAAGCCAGGTGGCACAGCCTCCAGGTCGCGGTAGGCACAGTCGGCGATCTGGAAGCCGTACTTCTCCCCACAGTCACAGGGCTCAGGACAGGCCTGCCCCAGGCCCAGGAGGACCGCCCAGCACAGCAGACACAGCTCCTGCATCCTCCCTCCTGCCGGGGAGAACATGACACTGAGGCGCCTCCAAGGACCCATGGAAGACAGTCGTGCCAGCCCAGAGCTCAACCCAGAGCTCGTCCCCATCAGAAGACCCTACCCCACATAAGCCAGCTAAGACCCAACACCACTTAGCCCAGCACCCTTATTTTACAGAACGGTCAACCGAGGCCCAAGGCGGGGCCAGGACTTGCTCGAGGTCATGCAGCCAGGAGAGGTGACAATAGGATAGAAGAGAACCCTAGCTCCTCCTCTGAGTGGAGAGCTCTCCCTGCCTTGGCCAGTTCCTAGCTGATTTTCTGGCTTGAAACGTGTTTTCCAGTCCACCCCTCCCCCAACACTCTGCAGACCCTCCCTCCTGCCATCAGTTCGGCATCCTGGCCACAGCCCCTTCCACCGGAGCCCCCCAAGAGGTATGCTTTGCCCTAACCCAGACAAGGCCCCTGTGCAGTGCACACCACCCCCGTCCGTCCCAGCCCCCTCTTGCTCCTACTGGCCTTGACCACAGTGGACACCAGACCCTTTCTACAGAATCACCCCAGGGCCTGTTCTGTTAAGTCTATGCCAGGCAGCTGCCTAACTAAATAAACCCTGCCGGGACCTCTCAGCTGGCTTGGACGAGGCCAGAGGCTCCGCCCAAATGCTGCTGGGATTTCTGGGGCTGTGGTTGTAGGAGGGGTAGATGTCCCTGGACAGGTCCAAAGCACCCTAAACCACAGGGAAATGACCAGGGAACCCCTGGGCCCAGCAGCCCCCTTCTCCTGCTGGCCCTTGGAGCCCTCCTCCCACTGGCTTACCTTCAAATACTCTTTCTTGATCAAGGAGTGTTTCTCAAGATGGAACCAGAAAGCAACAAAGGCCAGAGTTAGCCAGGACAGTCTTCAGGGCCAAGGGCGCACAAGGGAAAAGGGGGCTGCTGGAGGAAGGGGCAGCCTGGTCCCTGCACCCAGAGTCCGGGACCAGCTGCTGAGAGAAGGCTGCAGGAAGGGAGCCCAGGCAGCCTGCACACTCCCTTCCTCCAGCAAAACAACTGCTTCTCTGCAGCAGCAAGGACCTGTGTTTCATAAGTGACACCAGAAACTTGAGGGGGAAAATGCCAAATTTTTTTGGCTTTTTTTTTTCTTTCTCTCTCACTTTTAGCAGCTTCAACTTCCTTAAAGGCACACACTAGCTGGACAGGACCCAAGAAAAGATGGGACAGAAGGGTTTTTATGGTGGGAAGGGTAAGAAACTGAATCTCAAGGAAAGTAAGAGACTTCTAATCTCACTTTAAACAAGAAAAAATGGGAGGCCGTTTTCTAAGCTGGGCCTGTATAAGTGGTTATGTGTGTATTTATATGTGCATGTACATGTGGGCGTGACAGCTCAGTGTGGGAATGAGTTTGTATGTGTGTTTGTGTGGATGTGGGTGTGAGACTGTGTGTGAATTTGTGTGTGTTTGGGAATGTTTGAGTGTATTCGTGTTTGAGTAGGTGTGAGACTGTCTTTGTGTGTTTTGGTCTGTGTGTGTGTGTTTGTGCATGTATTTGGGCATGCGTGCGTGTGTGCGTGTGTGTGTTAGGAGTGAGTAGGAATCTCTGCATCCATGTGCCTGTTTGGGTGAAGGGTGTGTCTCAATGAAAAGCTGAAAGCCCCAAATGTATGAAACACTCAACGGGCTTCAAGGCTTCAGTGAGACCAAAATAAACCTGTTTTTGTAAGAAAACACATCCTTTTCCCCTGTGTCAGGCCTGCCTGCTGGCTCTGCAGTTGGGCTGCCCTAAACACAGGCTGCTGTCCAGGGAGGTCCCCAGCCTCAGCCCCAGCTCCCCATCGCACAGGGTGGATAGGGCCAGGGAGGCAGACAGGGAAGTGACTTTATGTGTTTACCTATGTGTAAATACCCTTCTAGGCTTCTGTCTCCTTTGCTGGGACTATGAGATGACACCCAGGTTCACAGAGGTGGTTCCATTGCCCAGGACTGCCCACCTGGCAGGCAGAGGTGAGGCTGAGGAACTTCACACTTTCTGGAATATTCTCTGTAGCCTCCTTGGTGCTTGGAATCCCTGAGCTCCACTGCCCAACACTACCTGTAAGAAAGAGGCATATGCCTTCAGGGTGAGGATATCTGACCCCTTTTCTCCAAACAGGATGCCCAAGGGAAGAGGGAATGAGGATAAGAAAGAGGCCCCAAACCGGAGAGCTGGAAGAAAGTTAGAAACATGAGGGAGCCCCTGAAAACTTTCTAGATGGGATATTTTTGCTTTCCACAGCACAAGTCTACTCATGTCCCTCATCCTCCTTCCCAAGTTTCCTTTCCTTCTGTCTGTATACCTGGCTGAATTCTCTTTATGCCCCAACTTACCCTCTTGGCATGGCCAAGGACAAACAGGTACCATCTTTGGCTGAAAGTATCCCCAGAAAGCCCCATCCCAGCTCATCACATCCTCATTCCCTTGCCACAAAGCAAGGCTACAGAAGTTCTGGGAAGCAGTGTGCTGCCTGAAAAACACCCTGGTCTGTTGCTGAAGATATTCTGATAGTCTAACGGAGCTCCCTCCCACTGCAGGTGAAGCCCTGTCTGGCATCATCACTATTGTACTAGAGAATTTTGGGAAAGTCCTAAATTTGGTGGGTCAACCAGAAGCTGGAAACACACACATCCAGAGTTCAGCAAATTAACGACTTCTGTGCCAGTCAGGAAGGGCTTCCTGGCAGAGGGGCTTCACTGTGCTTCTGCACAGCTCATACACCATCTCACTCATGCAAGGGCCATGCCACCTCCCAGGTGCTCTGAGGAGCTCACAGTCTCACTCCACCCCCTCCTCTAAAGCACACCAGGGCTTCAGAATGCCAAGGTCCTCCCCAGACCTCAGCCCCTTCTCCTGCAGCTGGTTCCTTCTAGCATTTCAGGCTTCCATTACACATCACCTCCTCAGAGCATCCCTTCTGATACCACCAAGGCTAAAGTAGGTCCCCTCTTAATTACCTCCCTGTTTTTTTTCTTCCCTTACTATCATCTTTTTTTCACAGCTTTTGTTTTCCTTGGACTTACTACTTGTCTTTTTCTTGAAGGGTGTGGGTGGTGAGGTGGTGGTGGGAGCTTAGCTTAATTTATTTTTTTAAAATACCTATCACTAATTTAATCTAGGCAGGGGCCTCCTTGGGTGAATCTCCTCTAGTCATAGGTAAACACATAAAGTCCTCCGTCAAGGGAAGAACTTCTCTTCTATTGTCTTCTGGAAGAACTCTCTCGCTGGGCCTCTGACCCGCTCAGCTCGGTTTCTTTAGAGGTCTGTGTCCGGAAGCTCGCAGGGATGGCCTCCTCCATTACTCAGGCTCCCTGTCACCTCTTGGATTAGATTTCTTGCTTCCTGGATCCCACCTCATCCCTCCTTAGTTTATTCACCTGTTCAACAGTCAAACAAAGGTGTACTGGCCACCATAATGAAAGGTATCTTCTTCAGACCAAAAGACGAAGTTGGCATCTCCATCCTTTATAATAAAAGCCCCATTGGGGCGAGCTGGCCAGACCCCACCCGTGCACGAATTCATGCACCTGGCCTTTAGTGTTACAATAATGAAATACCACCATACATCTATCAGAGTGACTGAAAAAAGAAGTCTTTTTAAAACTGAAATTATCAAGGATCCAGAGGAACTCATACATTGCTGGGGGAATGCAACATGGTATAGCTGCACTGGAAAACAAGTAGGGAGCTTCACAAAGTGAAACATGCATTTATCATGCAACCTATCAATTTCATTCTTGGGTAGTTACTGAAGAAAATAAAACATGTGTTCGTAAAAAAACCTATATCTACACATTTATAATATCACTAGAGATCCGGTGCACAAATTCGTGCATGGATGGAGTCCTTTGGGGTGGCCTGTGGAGATCGGGCCCCAGCTTGCACCTCCAGACTTGCAGCCCCAGCTCGTGCCCCCAGCCTGTAGCCCCGGAGCCCTGCCTGGCACCCTGCCTTGGCCTGGTGCCGCCCCCTCACTTACTCCACTATCCTGCCCTCAGGGTAATCAATCGGGGCTGGGCCCCCTGCCCAGCTCCCTCAGTGCCTGGGGGCCAGGCAGCAGCCCCTCCCCCTGCCACTGCCACTGGTTGCTATCTGTGGGACAATCAGCAGGGCGATTAGGCCCCTGCTTGCAGCACTTAGGCCTGGTGCCACCTCTTCACCTGCTCCACTGTCCTGCTCTCATTGGGGCCCACTGGGGCTGGCAGGGCCTCCACTGCTGCCTGCTGCCAGCACTGTGTTGCTGACGTCCACCATGTTCCATGGCACCTCTTGGTGGTCAGAGCATGTCATAGTGAGCAGTCGAACTCCCAGTCTCCCGGTCGAATGACAGCCGGCAAGGACAATTTGCATATTAGGCTTTTATTATATAGGATTATTCACAATCACCCAAAACTAGAAACAACACAAATGTCCATCCAGCTAGTGAGTGAATGGATTTAAAAAAACAGTGTTATATCCATACTGTGGAACTTGGCAAAAAAAAAGAACTGAACTACTGAGACACACAACATGGATGAATCTCAAAAGCATTATGCTGAGTGACAGGTAAGGTAATCTACATTTTAGAAAGATAACCTAAAACAGCCATGCCATGCCCCCTAAATCCACACTAACATGGTAATTGGCGTACGACCGCTACCCTTCCCATTGGCTAATCAGCAAGATATGCAAATTAACTGCCAGCCAAGATGGTGGTTGGCAGCCAAGCAGCTGGAAGCTAACATGAGGCTTGCTTGCTTCAGTGACGGAGGACTCCAACGTTCCCGCCTGCCTTGCTGGCCTCTGAGCTTGCAGTTTGAAACATTGTAACAAATATAGAAGCTAAACAAAACCCTAGAAACCAGCTTTCAGCTGGCTGGGATCTCAGAGCTGGAGTTGATGCAGAGTTTTT